AAAAAAAAAAAAGATGAAGAGAGAAAATTTACTTATAAAAATATAACTGACCTAAAAATAATTAATAGATGGAGTAATACAATAATTAGTAGTAATTATAGAGTGTAGGTATAACTTGAATATACTTATAATATATATATATATAATAAAGGATAAGAATTTGATAATATGCTTATAAATAAGTGCATATATACATAGTAAAAATTAAAAGTTTGGGTGGGGGGACTATACAATATGTGGATTCGCCCTTGCTTGTAAGTCTAGTGGGCTACTCCTCCTTTCACTAATTAGTTTTGAGATGAAATCTCGCCATGGTACATCTGGGTTCACCCTGTTATGGTGCGCTTTACGTGCATTGGACCGCACCCGTTTGACCCCCGTTAATTACATGGTATTAGTGCCGATTCTACGTGGGATCGTGCGATGACGTACCCATCACCCAACCCAGTTAGGCTTGAGCCTCGTGTGAAAGACTCACAAGTGAGGGGGTGTATTAGAATATAATACCACTTGAGTTATCCACTTGTGAGTTATCCCACATCGTTTATATATGTAAAATGCTAACATGTAAGCCTAGTGGGTTACTTCTCCTTTCACTAATTGGTTTTGAAATGAAATCACACTTGAGCTTCATTTGGGCTTTCTCTGCTATGACGCGCTTAACGTGCGTGATACCGCACATGTTTTCCCCAAGATGTGGAATAACTTGTAAGTGGTATTATATTCGAATAATGACAATTCTTAAGTTGCAACTCATCCATTAAATTAGAAACTATTTTGTGGAGTCAAGGTTACTAGAGAGACAAGAAATCACATGTTTTGGAAACAAGAAAAAGGGGCATTTGCTCTCTCTTTTTGTTTTTCTTCCCTTACACTTTAGCAATACTTTTTTCACCTATATATACAGTTGTTAACTTGTTATACACATTCACACACACACACACTAGTCCCTTGTTTTTACATATAAAAAAAAAATCATAATTTGTGAATATATTTTATTTGAATTAAAGAGAGAGTTAAAATGGGGAGAAGCCCTTGTTGTGACAAGAGTAAAGTGAAGCGAGGGACGTGGTCTCCCGAAGAAGATGCTACTCTCAAGACTTATCTCCTCAAGCATGGCACTGTTGGAAATTGGATTACTTTGCCTCAAAAAGCTGGTAAACTTTTTTCTTTACTAAAAAAATAAATAAATAAATAAAACACCTTCAATGTTTTACATTCACTCTTTTTCAAATGGTGGTCATGATTTTTATTAAAATTTGTGGTAATTATTTTTCGAGCTTCTCAGGTCTTCGTCGTTGTGGAAAAAGTTGCCGACTCAGATGGCTTAATTACCTTAGACCAGATATTAAGCATGGTTCTTTTACACCCGATGAAGAAAATATTATTTGCGATTTATACAACAAAATAGGAAGCAGGTGAATGGGAAGTGGGGTCCTCTGAATAAAAATAAATGTTTTAGGGGGGAAATTTGGTATTTTGAATTTCTTGTGATCTTATTTTGCAATTTAAATGAAAGATGGTCCGTGATAGCCTCACAACTGGAGGGGAGAACAGACAACGAAGTGAAAAACTTGTGGAACACCAAGCTGAAAAAGAAGGTGATGGCCACTAACTGTAATCCCCAAAATGCCCCTGCCGCCTCCAGCCCGGCTGCAGTCCGAGCATTTCGAGAGCCAGTTTCAGGCAGCCTGGTCGACGAAAATTATGACTTCCCGAGTCTCGTTCTTGAAGATGAATTAAGGCCATTTGCTTTTGGAATGGATGATCAAAGTTATGGGGTTACTGGAATTTCAACTCGAGATGGAGAAAATTCATGCATTTGGTCTCCAGATGATGATGATGTTATTGGTAGTATTCAGACTTGTTCACCATTTTCCAATGTTAATTCCAAGTCACAAAGGAGCCAGTCAAAGTCAACCAAGACATAAATGATTAAGGGCACATGGAGTAAATAATTGTCAGATGAATCAAACGTTAAGTAAATATATTAAATAAAAATAGGAAATTCAATGTCTGCACAAATAGTCATTTTCGATGAGGTCCTCAAGAATGCACAGATAACATCAAGTATGTTGAAAATGATGCATTCCATACCCCATTCTAACCAAATTATGAAAATATTCATGCTCAAAAGTTCAATATGAATTATTTTACTGTCATCTATACAATGTTTTGTTTTCCAGAAAATGCACATCAATGAATTCCGGTTGAAAATGAGGGCACCGACTCATAAGTTGTTGTCTTCCATCGTACAGCAGATTCAATGCTTTACACATTCTTCACATTCTGGATTATATAAATCTGCAAGAAGACCATCGATCAAAGTAAACTGTTAGCAGATTACACAAGAATCCTCCACCCACAATGGGAATTTCACTCAGATTTTGCGACAAAACCCGACATGAAAATAAAAACCCATTAACATTAAACATTACAGAACCACAATTATATCCTAAAATATATGGTGGTGTCAACCATTAATCACATCAAGTCAGCATAACAATCATCGATCATTGAAAATGCTTACATGTATGCTGATAAAGTAGATTCATGCTTTACCCAAACACAAATAATATCAGGGTTCTTGAGCAAATCAGAATGTATTCCCAGTTAAAGACAGATGGATAACGATTTACCCTTCCTTCGAGTACTTAGGTAACATGCATTAACTGAGTTCTCACTTCTGTCACTAATATTTTTCAATTGATAAACCACCATAAATGACTGCTCTTGACATTAGCCAGCCTCATCAGCTGAGGGGCCGAGGCATAGCAGGCATCCACCAAGGCAAGAAGCATTATAGATAAACTCCTGATTGTATTACTACAAATGACAATTTTATCCTTCATCCCATATGGGAAGACAAGAACTTCCACTCATTAACTTGTAAAACTACATTCCCCATGGAACACCCAAGCAACAAGTTTGGGTTGTCCTTTAAAGAAGAAGCACAAAACTAGTCACTCTATACTTGGTGAAGAAGCACAAACATAACTAAAACGTATATTGGCAGAGCACTAAGACCTCCTAATAATAATAATCTCAGAAGTAAAATCTTTCTCATTTTGAATCTTGTCGAGTAAGTTAAGCTCCATCAAAGAGCCACAAAACAACACCAGCACCAAGTTCCACGTGGTTTTAAGACAACAAAACAAAACAGATTACTAACAGAATAGGTCAGATGAAATGACCTCCTTAAAGGGCCATCTCCCTCTGCAACTCCGCAAGCTCATCATCCTCGTCCTCAACTTTCTTTAACATTTGCCTTCCAGCAGGCACCCGAACAGGGGCAGCAGGAGCTGTCGTTGCAGGTTGCAAAAGTTGTTCTTCCAGCTCAGCTCCTTCGAGCTCTTCAAGCTCCGCCTCCAATTCATCCTGTAGAAGGAAAAAGGAATCAGAAAGATTCTCCTAAAAAAAATAAAGAAAGAACAAAAGGCAATTGTGAACTATATAACATACCTCGTCGAAATCAGCTGAAGCACCAATGGGTGCGGACAGTGCTTCTTGAATCTGTTTCATGTTCTCAGTCTGTTCGTTGATTTCGTCCATTGTCTTGTCCACATCATCAATATTACTAAATCAGGAAAAGCCAATATAAGATTTAGGTAGTTGCATCTCAAGATAGCATCGACATTAAATAGCCACAAATATAAATCTATCAGTAATAGGTTTCCGCCGATATTTATGTAACAGGCCAGATTCTTTTAGTTCAAATATGATGAAAGAAATATTGTATAACGATAATACATTTATGATAATAGATGGATAGATGGATGCAGCCTCCAGATTCCAAACATTTTCATTACTTAAATAAACAACACAATGTGAAAGAATTTCAAGTTGTCTTATTCAATATCCACAAGTTTTAGTTCCTTCCCTATCGAACACTAATAATCTTTCTTTCTTTTGTTGGTTCATTTTCTTTCTATTTCAATACATTGCATCTCTTATGTCTTTTCCGTTGAGTGCGGTGGAAATTGTACTACATTCAAATATATTAGTGTTATCAACATAACTTACGTTGCCTTCTGCATAGCTTTCATTGCAGCTGCTCCAGTTCTCAAAGCATCAACAGTTTCTGTAGTGGCTTTTGCCCCTTCAAGCATTATCATCTGCAAACAAGGAGCATGCACAGCTTAAAATGACAGTACACGGACAGTTCAATAGAAGAATCAACATTATGGAAACTTATCAAGAGCACCTGGTCGTGAATACGCAACTGGAAATTCCCAAGCTGTTCAATTTGTTGTTCATAAAGCCTTTTCCCCTTTAAACATTGTATTGCGGCTAAAAGCAAATTTGCATAAACAAAATCTTTTATGATAGTAGGTCAATTAAATTACACCAAAAATAACAAGAACAAACCGAACAAAACCATGGCATATTGCTGGTCTGGACAAAACTACAGAATACTCCATCACACAATTCATAGACTTCAAAGGAAAATATGGTAACCATATGGTAAAGCCGAAGATATTTTAAAGACCTCAGCAAATGCAGAGGGAATACCATATGAATTAATTAACAAACTCAGATCCAGTCCGAGTTTTCTTTGCATGCACAATATAACGAAGGCAAATCAGCTAGACAACAGGAACCAATTCTTCAATTCAAGACTAGATAAAACAAACAACCAGGTAGGATAAATTCCGACAACATATCATGCCTCGAGATTACCTCTTTTATTTTTAGCTCTAGTGAACTCCTTGGCCCTTTCAACTTCTGAAGCAGCCTTCTTTAAGAGAACCTTCTCCTTTTTCTCAAGCATCTCCAGAGTCTGAGTACAACAACCAAACAAGCATCCAATCACTTAAAACGAAATTTCTAGGACTATCAAGATGAAAAACGTAAATAAAAAATGACACCATAACCAACTGATTGACGAACAACAGATATAAGAATATATAAATACATGGTAGATTACAGTGATCAATTTCCAAGAAATGCCGAAAATCGAAAATAAGAGTACATTGTCATATCATAAAATTCTCTACCCCAAATTATAGCTGTGCTGCCATCGTCCACATTAGCTTCCATTTAACGTATAGCAATTTTTAGTATAAAAACTTCATGATACAAATCAAATTATGGCATAAAAGAAAAACGAAGAAGATTAAATAAAGCATAGATAAGAATTCATACCTCGTTCAACTTGTCCAGCGTAGCAAGAGCATTAGTCTCTTGCTTTGGCTTCCCGAAAATCCGCGTAAACATTATCCGAGCTAGTAAAAGTATTCTAAAGGGAAACAAATTGGAAATCCCTAAACCCAGAAACAATGCAAAATTCAGTTCGTCAATTTGATCCTCGAATACACACAATTGGTATTTCTCGAAATTCGAACAGATCAACAAATAAGTATCATATACTCAGCCAAAAGATGAATAAATCTCATTAATTGAGCAACAACACTGACCTGCAGATTCAGAGCGATGAGGAAATCGAACACTTTTGGGGGAATTCTTAGGGATTTATGTATGAAAACGTAGAAGAAGTTGCTGATCGACGACCCCTTTTCGTTCGTAACTTCGTATAGATTTTAGATTGCGTGTGTTTGGGGCCGGGAGGGGGGTGGGGAAGAAGATAGATATCACGTGACTGGTTGTTCATCTAAGAATGTGACGGACCAACTGGATTCGGACTTGGATGAGATTTATTATATGAGTAATGCTACAAGTACATAATAGTGTACATAATGGTTTACATAACACTCACATTGAGTGGGTCCATTTGATTTTTTATTTTTAGTGGGTCCCACTCAATGTGAGTGTTATGTAAACCATTATGTACACTATTATGTACTTGTAGCATTACTCTTATTATATTTTCGTCTTCCTATTTTCAATTTAGTCCTTGAACTATTCAATCCTTGCAATGATCCACTTTGGATGATGGATCAAGTGTCATAGAGGTCGGGCACAAATTTTGGCAAACTAAACTCGACAGCATACAATCAGGAATAGAGTCCCTCGTGCTAGGGTTTTTCTCTCTCTAGAGATTGAGTTCCTCCATAGGATTTGTGCCCCTGTGTTCCATGTCTTTCCTTCGATTCTGGTTCCTTTATTGATTGTTAATGTTCTCCATGTTGCTAATCAAGGTTTGGCCTTCTCTTTTTCTCTTGTCAGGACCTCTTTTTTACGAATGGCAGTGTTCATAAGTATGTTTCTGGATTGATTGTTTCGTAATTAGGTTGCATTTTTCTGTCTGTGTGCTTCCTGATTAGGGGTTTAGACGATGTTGTGGCTTTTTCTTTAGCCTGCTTGGGCGGTTTGTTTGTGTGTAGATCTGTTTGTTTTGTGTTTCGTCTGGTTGTGTTTGTCTTGTGTCTCTGTTTGTTCTGTGGTTGGTATGGAACAAGATATCACATCTAAGCTGCAAAGATTCAAATTATCTGATAAAGAGGGAGGGCCTTTCTGAAGATGATATTGCCATAGGTATTCAGGATTGTAGTCTGAGCTTAATCGGAAAAATCTTTGGAGAAAAAAAAAAGCTAACTTTAGCGGTCTTAATGTCACTCTAGGTAGTATTTGGGTCACTGAAAAACCTTTCTCTACTAGGAACCTTGGAAACAACATGTTTCAATTCATGTTTCAATCTGAACAAGATATAGACAGAATTCTTGAAGGTAAAACATGGAATTTTAATGGCCAATATCTTCTTTTGAAGTTATGGAACCCTCAGAATAATGAGTTCAATGAGGAGGATGAAAAAATCAAAATCTGGGTTCAAGTGCTTAACTTACCTCTTCACTGGTTGTCTCATGAAATTGGGCTTAAACTAGGAAAATTGTTAGGAAAAACCTTAGATGTTCAAGTTCCAGGGATAGGTAGCTATTCTAGTCAAAATTTGAAAATCCTCGTTGAGCTTCCCCTGTCTGAACCTATTTTGAGAGGCACTGTTATTAAGATGGCGGGGACAACAAATGGGTTGATTTCAGATACGAAAACCTTCAAAGCTTTTGCTTCTACTGTGGGGTGATAGGGCATTCTGACAGAAGCTGTGCCAAAAAGAAAGATGATGTTAAAAATAAAAGTCTTAAATTGGGTCAATATGGGGACTGGTTGAGAACCAGCAGTTCCTCATCCAGTGGTTTTAGAAGTCATAGTGGATTCAATGTTGGCAGTCAAGCCAGCACTGAGCCTACTGGTCATCCCCATGAACAACCTCTAGCTAAGAGTGTTGTTGGGGATAAAGGTAGCACTAGGAACACACATAGCATAACCCCTGCCAGCAATGCTGACAAAGGGAAATCCATTGTGGGACCAGTGAATCTTGTTATTTCTGAGGACAACAGGGGAGTTAAGGACACTGATATTGTGGTCCCCATAGACAATATCCTTAACAGTGGTTCCTGTGGAGTCTAATCTTGTTGAGGTAAATGTGCAATCTTCCACTATTGGAAGAAGAATTGTTCATAGGAAAAAAACTGTAGCAGCTAAGGAGACTAGCCTTAGCAAGATTGCTACTACTGAACAAATGCACATTGATAAGGTGGAAGAGAACAAAAATAATCTGGGTAGGGGCACTAATAAAAGAACAAGTGAAGTGCTAACCCAGACTAATGATAGTGTGGGGAAAGCTAAGTTAGTGTCTAAAAAACTGAAAATAGGTAACAATACACATGCTGCTGTGGTGGAGGAAACCAGCCATAACTGGTCCCAAGGTTTCCAATGAAGGCTCTGGTGTGGAATTGTAGAGGGTTGGGAGGACCCTCTACAATTTCCCTTCTCAAGGATTTTTTGAGAATCCACCTCCCAGATTTTGTGTTTTTATCTGAGACTAAAAAAAATGTTTGTATAAAACTTAAAATATTAGATAATTGGTATTATGTTTCCCCTGTTGGTTTCAAAGGGGGGTTGTTTTTGTGTTGGTCTCAGAGAATTAATATCCTGGATATTATTCCATCTGATTTTGATTTGGAAGTCAAATTTTCCTTTGCTGGTAATTCTGATGTTTTTTGGGGTATTTTTGTTTATGCTAATACTGATAGAGTGGTGAGAAATACCCAGTGGGACTTGATCATTAGACATAGCTTGTATTGGGGTGACTCCTGGTTCATATGTGGTGATTTTAATGACATATTAGATCACACTGAGAAACTGGGTGGGAGTAGGAGAGATGAAACCAGCTTCTTAGACTTCAAAAACTTGATCTCTTGTCTTGGAGTCAATGAAGCTAAAGTTCTAGGTCACCCTTTTACTTGGACTAACAATAGGCAAGGGACTCATGCCATTGAAGAAAAACTGGATAGATTCCTGTTTTCTCAAAATTGGTTATTGTTGTTCCCTAATTCCCAGGTTCAAATCTTCCCTGTGGCTGCTTCTGACCATTCTGTCCTTTTATATGAGAGTAACCCTGGATGTGAGAAGTTTAAATCCAGATTTGTTTTTGATGCTAGATGGTTTAAAGTTGAAGGCTTCAATGATATCATTTCTGAAGCTTGTAATACTATTATGTCTGGTCACCCTCTGTTTAGTATTAAACAAAGGCTTAGGAATGTGAGGAATGCCATTCTCTTATGGAAGAAGAGCAATGTCAGTAATTCCAGGATTAAAATTGATGAGTGTAATCAGAAGCTGGAGAGCTTGAGAATCTTAGGTGGTAATAGGGATTGGGGTGAGTGGAATAGGTGTAAGATTGAGTCTCAGCTTGCTTATGAGAGTGAGGAGCAGTTCTGGAGACAAAAATCTAGAGTGAACTGGCTCAGGGAGGGGGATAAAAACTCTAGATTTTTCCATGCTTGTGTGAATCAAAGAAGAAAAACCAATTCTCTGAATAATATTCTGAAAGCGATGGGTCTAGATGTCATAGTCAAGGGGAGTTGCTTAGTGAGATTTTGCACTACTTTGATAAAATGTTTCAATCCAGTAATCCTCTGGATGACAATTGCAGCTTAGAGGGTATCTCCAGAGCCATTACCTCTGATATGAACAAACAGTTGATTGACTATGTGACTGATGAGGAAATTGAAACTGCTCTTTTTCAAATGGACCAGGATAAAGCCCCTGGTGAGGATGGCTTCACTGACTGTTTTTTCCAAAAATCCTGGCCTATTATTAGGTTTCATGTGTGTCTTGTTGTGCATAACTTCTTTAATTCTGGAAAAATGCCTAAGGGCTTGAACCATACTGTGATTACTCTTATCCCTAAAAAGAAAAATCCTACTAGGGTTGTAGACTTTAGACCTATTAGTCTTTGCAGTGTCGTTTATAAGTTGATTGCTAAAATTGTGTCTAACAGGCTTAAAACTGTTCTGCCTTATTGCATTTCTAGTGCTCAGTCAGCTTTTGTCCCTGGTAGGCAAATATTATACAATGTTGTTATTGCTAATGAATGTGTTCACTACCTAAACAGCAAGAGAAAAGGGAATCAGAACTATATGGCCATTAAGTTAGATATGGCAAAAGCCTATGATTGAGTTGAATGGGCATTTCTTGTTAAAGTCTGCAGAAAAATGGGATTTTGTGAAACATTCATATCTTGGATTCTTGCTTGTTTGTGCACTGCCTCCTACTCTTTCAATATTAATGGTTATGTGCTTGGTTATCTGCAACCTTGTAGAGGTCTTAGGCAGGGAGATCCTTTATCTCAATACCTATTTATTATTGTTTCAGAAGCTTTCTCTCATCTTATTAACCAAGCCAGTAACTTGGGTCTTTTCCTGGTTTGAAAATTGGTAGACATGCTCCACCTGTGAGCCATCTCTTTTTTGCAGATGACTCACTCTTGTTCTGTAAAGCTGATGCACATCATGCTTCTCTTATTTGTGATATCCTCTTTCAATATGGCTGTGAGTCTGGTCAAGTTGTGAACTTTGATAAATCCTTAATTTTATTCTCTAAAAACACTTCTGATGGAACTCAGGGTCAAATCTGTGGTAGACTCTTTGGCATTAATAGAGTTAAATCTTCTAGATACCTGGGGCTCCCCTTGGGAATAGGGAGATCTAAGAGAGATACCTTTCTTTTTGTGAGTGAGTGTGTGAGAAACAAAATCATGAGCTGGAAAAATAAATTTCTGAGTGATTCAGGTAGAGAGATTATGATCAAATCTGTTTTGAGTGCCCTCCCCACATATGTCATGTCTTGCTTCAGGATTCATGTTACTATTGTTAATCAAATTTGCAGGGAGATGGCTAATTTTTTGTGGGGCAGGAATGATCTGGGGGGTAATAGGATTCATTGGGCAGAATGGAGGAAGATGTCTAGGGCTAAAA